GATATGGGTATGTCCTTCGCCCATGTGCGAACCAGAGAACTTAAATTCGACCTTCCTGTATCTGCTGGTAACATGTACAGCCTCGCAAAGTTCTGGTAGGTAAGGTCATTATCTTAGGAACTGCGGAGCCAGGAGAGCTGAAATTTTATGGGTATGCCCCATGACCATGTGCAATCCAGAAAATTTAAATTCAATTTTCCCGTGCACTTGAGTGTCGCGTACGGCCCAGTGAAAGTTTTGGCGGAAAATTATCTCGGGAACCATGAAAGCTTGGAAGCTGAAATTTCAGAACGATATTTTCTGCCGCTGCAGGCATCTCACAAACTCAAATGTAGCTCTCAAGTATGCAGAGGCCTTACGTAAGACTACGTGAGAATTCTGATATGAAAGTCACTAGCTCGGAAGCCGGGAAACTAGAAGATTGAAATTTGGAAAGATGTTCCCCACTCATTTTTCCAAATTCAGCCTTCTTGTACCGACACGTGAAATTTTCAGTGGGAAATTCATCATCTTAAGAGCCAGACAGCATATCTACCATTTTTATGCGTTTTTGCTGTGCAGCGCTATAGCGCTATAGCGCTGCACAGCAAAAACGCATAAAAAAAGCACAAAAACGCATATTGTCGAGAGGCTGTGTGTGTGTGTGCGTATGTGTGTGTGTGAAAGCGAGTGCATTTTGTCATCCACTTTCATCTCAGCAACCAGGAAAGCTGGGAGTCTGAAACTTTGGATGTGTTCCTTCCCCGTGTGTCATCCTCCCGTTTTAAGATCTTTTCCCATACGCGCCTAAACCCCACGTGCGGGACCCCCGAAGAAATTTGTTGGCGGGAAACGATTTCGCGAACCAGGCAACGTAGAAAGCTGAAACTTTGCAGGGATATTCTCCGTACGTGCGAGCTAAAGATTTTGAAGTCAGCTGCCGACCACCCCAATTACAGCCTCAAGCAGCTCCTCAACTCAAGAATCGTTAGCAACTCGGGCCTGAACCGCAATCGTGTATGTAGATGAACATTAGTTAATTTGCGTACGTGGTTTTTTTTAACAAATGACCGCTCGAGCAATACTTCCACTTTTTAGCGAACTGGAAATTAGCATTTTTCCAAAAGATATGCATTTGTCATTTTTTCACAATATGAGCAGTTGCCGAAAAAACGACCGGACTTCATGCAAAAAACCGGTAACCATGCACCTGGATGTCCGTGCGGCTCCACAATGCTCCACCTTCATCCCAACTGACGCCCTTTCTCCTGCATTCCGGAACGGATCAAAGCACGGACAACAGGCGCTCAAGTGTTAGGCTACAGCGTAAAGATCATACCCGCTAATAGCGATATGCGAGTTTGGTGCAAAAACGCATGATCGCAGCGGAGAGCTTGGTGCATCCCAGTCTGGGTCTCATATACGAAAGTGTAGAACAGTTATATTTTTAGTAAGCAAACGTCCACTGCGTGGAACCGTGTAAAACGCTTGGTCGCATCGGCTACTTTGGTACGTTTCGCTGTCTATTGTAATTGCCCTAGTAAATGCTGATTGGTTCCATGTTTTCACAGTGCCGCCGGCACGAGTCGCGTTTTGACACTCGTCAGTAGTTGACGTGGAAGCAATTGCTAAAGCTCGGTTCGGCCGAGACTGCGCGGTCTGTTTCAGTGGTTTTTTATTGGGTGTAGATAGGGGCGGAGGGGGGGGGGGCATGCTGGAATTTCTTGTTTAAATGAGGTTTCAGGTGTGTTGTTCACGATTTCCAGCCTCCTCTCAGCATAAATTTTTATGCTGAGGATAAAGAAACTCTGTAGTCCCCTCCCCTATAAATCCATTTCTGCCTGCAGCTAAGGTCTCAGTTCCTTGCTTCCTCTACGATCCCCAGACCACTCCCGTTTCTTACCCCCTCCCCTCCCTCCTCCGCTACATCCCAGCCACTCCTGTAATTTGCCTCCCAATCCGACCGAGCCGAGTTTTGGCACGTCGGAAGTTCGCTGGTTGGCGGCCTGTGCGTGCTCTTGCTGTAGTTCGGGGTGGAGGGTTGTGGCTGTGCTCGTTTATGAGGCCGCGCCGTTGTCTTCATCGCGTGCGTGCAGTGGCCAGCCAGTAGTAGTGGGCCTGGGGATGCGGTGTCGGTGACGTTGCTGGAATGCTGGCACACGTTTGGGCTGATGTGCTGCGATTTGTGTGCGCCACGTTCCTTCGCAGTGGTCGTCGTCTTCGTCCTGGCGCTGGCAGCACTCGTGCTCGAATCATCCCGCTGCTCCACCGCTAAGCCCAGCAAATCCCATTTTGTGGTGGCACTGCGCGTCTGGCTGGCTGGCGAAGAGGCGCCCCAAACGACTGCATGCTGCACCAGTCCGTCTTGTTGTGGAAGTTGACTTTTCACCGGCTACCGCCACTGCACGTTCATCTTGCAACTGGGTGTTACTGTTCGTATTTATTTCCTGCTTAAGGCCAAATCAGCACAGTCTGTTCGGGGTCCAGCCGTCGACGCACCGGCATTTTCTGTCACCTTCGTTTTGGATGTGATAATTTTCTTCGCCTTGTGTTCCTGCACTGCTTCATTGCAATATCGGATCCTCTGTTTTGTCTCGTCAGTATACGGGACGGAGTGGGGGAAATTATGTCGAACAGCTTTTGTTCCCTTAGTCATGTCCAGATAGACGACAATTGTTTATAACTCGAAGCGCAACGTGCAGCTGTATGCTGTCGAGTGTTTTTTCGTGATACAGAAGCAGCTGATTACTTTTTTACGCTTTCTAGTAGCTGTTTTAGAGCGAAACTTTGCAGTAGTGTATTTCATCCGTGCGTAAACTAAGGATTCCAAATTCAACGATCGCGCACGCTTACGTCATGCCTGCGGTCGCGTCGTAGTTCGCAAGTCGGCACCCTGCAAACTCTGAAACAGGCGAGAAAAATATGGCTGTGATTTTGCTAGAATATTTATTGCCCATCTGAGAAATTGTATACCTAAATCGAGTTTCGACTTGCACTTGTGCCACGCTTCAGAAGATGTTAGGGATATCTGGCACATCCAGTTATTTTGAGGTGTCGCGCGAGTAGCGGCGTTCTTGCGTGCTCAGCGAGTCGGGCGTTTTAGCATGCTTCTTTCGGATTTCCTCTTTTCCCTCCCTTCAGTGCTTTCCACCACCACGCAACAGCTCCTGGGGCTCGCTAATTAGTGCTTTTATCTTGTACATGTTCATTATGATGCCCCATACAGTAGCGCTTAGTGAGGCACACTTTTTGTTTTGATGAACAGGCGCGGCTGCACCGTGAGCGTCGGGGTGCACGCGAGGCTTGCTGATTGAGTGGGATTCGTTTCAGTGGAAAATGGTTTCGAATGGTGGTGTTGAGGCGCTGACGTTAAAGGCGCGCTACGGGACTGATGTGCGCAAGATGACGGTGCATCACAGCGATGACCTCTCCTACAACGACCTCGTCCTCATGATGCAGCGAATATTTAAATTGCCGAGCGCCACCAATATCTCTCTCAAATACAAAGATGAAGGTACATCAGTGATTTGTTTCACCCGCTCTGTACTCATAGTGCTGTATTAGTGCGACATACAGAGAGCACTCGGATGTACATAGGATGCTGATTGCATTGATCATCCACAGTCGTCTTCATCCTACGAATCGCCATGTAAAGTAGTAGTAGTAGTAGTAGTAGTAGTAGTAGTAGTAGTAGTAGTAGTAGTAGTAGTAGTAGTAGTAGATGTTTAGTCTTCAGCGGAAAATCGTGAAAACCGTTTTGGAAAGTCTTTATTTTTATGCGCTTTTTGCAGCTATGCAATGCAAATAAATGGCCAACGCACGGGCTGCCCGTGCGAAGATGCGTTTTTTGCAGAGTTCCCCGCAGTTTTTTGGCCGGCATCGGTTTTTTCGGCAGATGCTTCTAGTAGAAAGAATTTCAGACTGGCCGCCAAAACTGTCATAACGCACGGGCTGCCCGTGCGAAGATGCGTTTTTTGCAGAGTTCCCCGCAGTTTTTGTTGCTACCGTCCTCGGTTTTTTCGGCAGATGCTTCTAGCTGAAAGAATTTCAGACTGGCCGCCAGAACTGTCAGAAAACACCCCCTAAAAATTCCAGTCTTCTAGCTTCTCACGTTCTCGAGTTTGAACTCTTTGATACCCACTTAGTTCAAAATTGCAGTCTTTTAGCTTCTCACATTCTCGAGTAAGTAACTTATCCGGAAGGAACCTTCACACAGGGAATGCCCCCCCCCCCTCCCCCAATATTTCAGCTTTCTAGCATCTCAGAACCTCGAGTTATGAACTTACGCCATATTTCAGCTTTCTAGCATCTCATAACCTCGAGTTATGAATTCACGCAGGAAAAATTTTGGGGGGCTCGTACGCGGGTACCACGCTTACCCGGGGTCTGGATCTGAGCCCATTAGCACCTGCTTGGACGGGCAACATTTCCCTAAAATTTCAGCTTTCTAGCATCTCTGAACCCCGAGTTATGAATTTACGCGGGAAA